GGAGGAGGAAGAGGAGGTGGAAGTGCAAGTGGAGGAGACGGCTGTAGGGCAAGCAGAGGGGGAGAAGACAGCACTGGAGAAAGCAGAGTCAGCAGCCGCATAGTGGGGTGGGGACACTAAGTAGGAGTCAATTTCAGCCGTTGGTTTGCAGGGAGAGGGTTGGATTACTTGTTTCTCTCCCTGCTTGTTCTTGTTACTTGTCCTTCTCTTACTCCCACTGTCAGCATCGGCCTCTCCTTCCAGGTTAACTTTCTGGCCACTTTTCTGCTGTACAGAAAGAAGGAATGCAATGAAGGTTGCATACTTGCCTGTCCTTCCATGCTTGTATGATGTGATTTGCTTCTCTCTGCACTTTCCCGTCCTACCTAAACACTTTTTCGCAAAGATTGTACCTTATTGTTACAAATTGTTACCTAAGTAACATTTGATATTACTGTGCACTCCTCACCGCAGCAAAGAGAAGCACGCAGTAACGAGAATGAACGCGAAGCGTCAGACGGTATGAAACTGTACGCGCCGCACGGTTGGGAATGCATTTGAATAAGGGAATGTACCCCTTAGAGTACATGACTAGCTAGGTCTTTTCGTATTCCGTTGTACTCTTATTTATATCACCTTGTTTGCATGTTTTATTCATCTCAAAGCATTTTACATTCACTCTGCTATTGAGGTCAAGGGCCCACCAAACCATCTCACTGCGTGCGAACCTTCCCGGGTAGATCCTGGGCTACGATCAACTTCTGATCGCAGCATGGTATCAGAGCGGCTCGGGAATCCTTCGCACTGCCACTCCCGAAAATTGCGACATTCGGAAAGTGGCGTCCGGCACACGTTCACGAGTGAAGATGGCCGGAGGATCTGGTGGTCAGACTAATCTGACGGCTGAAGCGCAACCCAACCCGGCTGCGACAAGCGAGAACACGACGACAATCAACTCCGAAGTTCTCGCACAACTTCTTCAGCGACTCACCAGCTTGGAGCAAGGGCTCCAAACATTGCGGAATGGCGATGCGGGAACATCCTCGCAACCCTCTCAACCGGCCCCGACTGGCCAGAACGCCACCCCGCAAACTTTCTCCCTCGACACCAATGGCTCAACCCCCAAGGCTCCCCGTCCCAGTGAAGAGGCAATTCTCTCCGCTCAATCAAGGTTTCTCAGCATATCAAAAATAAAGACAAGTACCTGTTTTGACGGCAGAGACTTTTACACCTGGAGCTTCGAGCTGGAGCTCCTGCTTCAGAACGCCCAGATCTTCCACTATTTCGACGGGAGCTACGCGGAGCCTGCTGAGGACACCGACGACGCCAAGGCGCGGTATTACAACGAGTCGCTGATGGCGTACTGTCAAATGATATATATGTGTGATACATATTGGTAGGCTGTAGTGGGGTAGATGTTATAGGGGATAACCCCTTAGGGTTTTCCTACTTGTAAAATTTCTCTCGATAGTCAACTTCACCTTGCCTAGCTATCTCAACATGGCATCTAGAGCAATGGTCCTAAGGACCTAAGATTGGGGCCCACCTACTCATGAGTTACTTTCCCTACAGCTATACCTACGTGCCTACCTTGCCTGCTGCCCGCGCGCGCCTCGGCTGCATGCGCGCGTGCATTTTTTTTTAGCGCGCCCCGCTGCCTTAGCCGCCCGCGTGCTCGCTGCTGTCGCGCGCAGCTCGTCACCGCGCGCAGCCCGCCGCCACGCGCGACCCGCCGCCGCGTGCAGCCAGTAGCCACGCGCAGCCCGCAGCCACGCGCAGCCCGTCGCCGCGCGCAGCCCGCAGCCGCACGCAGCCCGTCGCCGCGCACAGCCAGCTGCCACGCACAGCCCGCAGCCGCGCGCAGCCCGCTGCCGCGCGCAGCCCGCAGCAGCGCGTGCCCTGCCCTGCCTGTGCGCCACTGCCTCGACCTGAGCGCTTAGCCGCCCGTGAGTCGTGCGCTTACCTGCCTTACGCGCGGCCTGTCACAGAACTGCGTGCTTCCTTACCTGCTACAGTTGCCTGCTGCCTGAGCCTGCTGCCTGAACCTGCAGTCTTTGCCTGCTGCCTGAGCCTGCTGCCTGAGCCTGCTGCCTGAGCCTGCTGCCTGAGCCTGCTGCCTGAGCCTGCTACCTGAGCCTGCTGCCTGAGCCTGCTGCCTGAGCCTGCTACTTTTGCCTGCGCTACAACCATGGCGACCCTTACTGTTCTCGCCTTTGAGCCTGACGGCCGCCCCATCGAGTTTGACACCTGGCTTAGTGACCTGCGCCTTTACCTTATGACTGACGTCGCAGACGGAGTGTCCCTGCTAGCCTATGTGACCGGCACTGTCCCTACTCCTGCTGAGACTGCTCCTGCCTGTGAACGAGCACAGTGGGAGCTCCGCGATGCTGTCGCGCGCCTTGTTATTCGCAATCACCTACCGATCTCTGAGCGCGCGCATTTCAACCAGCTTAAGACTGCTAAGACGCTGTATGATGCTGTCGTTGCCCGCTATTCCGCCCCGACCACAGCCACCGTTGGTAGTCTCATCCTGCCTTACCTGTTCCCAGACTTAGCCTCGTTTCACACTGCTGCCGACCTTATCACTCACCTCCGCGCTAGTGACGCCCGCTTTCGAGCCGCTCTTACCAAAGAGTTCCTCGCCACGAACACCCCCCCGCTGTACTTCACCCTCTACATCCTCGTCACCCGCCTCCCTGACACTCTTCGCTCTGTCAGGGATTACTTCCTTGCCAAGGATCCTCCAACTATCACTCTGGACGACTTCGAGCAGCAGCTGGTCGCAGCAGAGAAGAACATCCTCGCTGTCGGTGCTGCTCGTGGCACTCCCCGCACTCCCCTCTTTGAGGGGTGCTCCCCCTCCCCTCTTGACCCCTCCTACGCCTCTGCTGCTACTGCTGTCGACTTCCTCGGTGCGGAGAAGGTCGCAGCGGCTTCCGCTCCTGGTGGGAAGCGTGGTGGTGGCAGGGGCGGCAAGGGTGGCAGGGGTGGCGGAGGTGGCGGTGGAGGGAGCGGTGGTGGAGGCGGCGGGGGTGGTGGAGGTGGTGGGGGTGGCCGTGGGGGTGGAGGCGGTGGGTGGGGTGGCGGCAGGACCGGGAGCGGTGGAGGCGGCGGCGGCGGTGGTGGGGGAGGAGGCAGCGGCAGTGGCGGTGGAGGTGGGAGTGGGGGTGGATCTGGCCAGAAGGGTGGCCAGCAGCAGCAGCAGCAGCAACAGCCACAGCAGCAGCAGCAGCTTCCTCCCCTCACCTCCCAGCAGCTCAATGACTGGTATGCTGGGCGTGGGGCGTCTCGGGGTTCTGACCGCTGCCCCTATGTCATTCGTACTGGCCCCCGCAAGGGTCGCCCCTGCAACGGTTTTCACACTGAGTATCGTTGTTTTGCTAGGCTTAGTGACGCCTGGCGTACTAAGTATCCTGATGCTACTGAGTTCCCCAACTGGGCAGAGCTGCTTAGGCGTGATGTGCCTATCTTTGATCTGGACTATGATGTTATTCTTGCTGCCATGTATGCATTGACTGTTAGTGCTGAGGGTGACTGCTACTTGTGTGTGCCGCCTGACCCCGGTATAAGGACTGCAGCCCTAGGTGCTAGTGAGTCTGCTCCCCTTGGTACTGAGTCGGCTCAGGCCTTGCACACGTTTACACTTGACTCTGGTGCTTCCCGCTGTTTCTTTCGTGATAGCACCACCGTCACTCCGCTCCCTGCACCTGTCCCTGTCTCCCTGGCTGACCCCTCTGGGGGCCCAGTGCTTGCACGCGGCACGACTGTGCTCCCGTGCCCGGCGGTCCCGTCTGGTGAGCTGTCAGGTCTCCTCGTTCCCTCGTTCTCTACGAACCTGGTGAGCAACGCCGTCCTCCAGGATCACTGGGTTGACACCTGGACTCCTGGAGGGCAGCGTGTGGCGATCTGTACGTGCTCCAAGACTGGCCGCCACCTGGCCACGTTCACTCGTGAGCCGGGGTCCAGTCTGTACACCCTCACCACTGTTTCACGCTCCGCTCCTTTGTCTCCACAGCTGTACGCGTCTGCTCAGGTAGCTACCCAGTGTGAGTGCCGCCGCCTGTCGCACGACACGCTCCTGTGGCACCACCGCCTTGGTCACCCCTCCCTGCCTCGCCTTCGTAGCATGCACTCTCGCTCTCTGGTCTCTGGGCTTCCCAGGTCTCTGCCTGCCCTCCCTCCCTCGCCTGCGCCGCCCTGCATTCCCTGCGTCGAGGGGCGGCAGCGCGCCGCTCCTCACTCCTCCTCGTTTCCTCCCACAGAGGCTCCCCTGCAGACGCTTCACCTGGACGTGTGGGGCCCAGCCCGCGTCCAGGGACAGGGCCGTGAGCGGTACTTTCTGCTGGTTGTCGACGACTTCACGCGTTACACCACGGTCTTCCCCTTGCGCAGCAAGGGAGACGTCCCTGCTGTTTTGATCCCCTGGATCCGCGCTGTGCGTCTCCAGCTCCGCGAGCGGTTCGAGCGGGACTTTCCTGTCCTGTGTCTGCACTCTGACAGAGGTGGTGAGTTCTCCTCTGACCTCTTGGCAGCCTTCTGTGCGGAGCACGGCATCACCCAGTCGTTCACGCTTCCGGCCTCTCCGCAGCAGAATGGGGTTGCTGAGCGCCGCATTGGCTTAGTCATGGAGGTCGCTCGTACCTCCATGATCCATGCGGCGGCTCCCCATTTTCTGTGGCCGTTCGCGGTCCGGTACGCCGCGCATCAGCTCAACCTCTGGCCCCGTGTCTCCTTGCCGGAGACCTCGCCCACACTGCTGTGGACGGGGGAGGTTGGCGATGCGTCGCGTTTCCGGGTCTGGGGTGCTCGTGCCTTTGTCCGCGATCTCACCGCGGACAAGCTCTCTGCTCGCGCCATTCCCTGCGTCTTCCTTGGTTTTCCTCCTGACGCGCCTGGCTGGCAGTTTTACGACCCCACCTCGCGCCGTGTCTTTGCGTCTCAGGACGTCACCTTTGACGAGTCTGTTCCCTTCTACCGTCTCTTTCCCTACCGCACTGTCTCTCGCCCCCCCCCCGCCGCTCTTTCTCGCTCCAGGTCCTCCCCAGGTAGACCCCCTCCCCGCGCCAGGTCCTGCTCCTTCAGGTGTTTCTCAGGTAGACCCTCCGGTACCTGCGCCTGTTGAGG